TGTGTCAATGTTGTGTGTCCAAATAGCATTACTCTTTAATAATATTTAATTTCAAATAAGTTTCTAAATTAATTCCTACATCCATTACAACCATTTGGTAATCTTTCAAAATTCAACGTGTGTCATTAGTTACATCCCCCCATAACACATTAAGTCATAAATAGGGATAGTTTTGGAATCCGAAAAATACAATAAATCAGATTTTAAGTTATATTAGGTAACTTGCTTAGTTGGATCCTAGTCATCGGGTATTATTTGAAAAAATTGGATATTTTAAATAGAAAACTAAAAGAAAGGGTTGTAGGTGATTTAAAGTGAATTTTATGGGTTTAAGTTCAATTTACTAAAATAAGAATAAATAAAGCACATGGTAATTGACTTTCTTTCTTGTTTGATTTGAAGAAGCTCCATTCCCCAGTTATGTACACCACTTTCTGACGTGCATATGAGGATTAACAGCAGCCTCACCTTTGATACCATATTACACAATCACCAGACCTCAAAAGCTTATTCGATTAGGAATGGGCCAACCATGTAAGCCTGCGGCTATACTATACATGGACAGCAGTTGGATGCTGTATAAAAGGATCTATTTGCTTACTTCCCCATTTAGTTAGTTTAATTTGAGAAAGTTTTCAAGTGATTTCTTAGTTGTTGTGCCCAGTGCTGAATGGATGTTTCTCTAAATCAAGTGCTCAATTGTATCCTTTTTTTATTTTATATCTTTTTGGTTCAGGTTTACCAAGTTTGATCTTTCGTCTCCGCCTGTAAGTAGAGGGCTTCCTATCACTCGAGTGATATGCAGGATGGAGCTTCAAGATATCTTAGTCAATGCAGTCGGATCGGACATTGTGAGAAACAATTCTAAAGTGGTCGACTTCATTGAAGAGCCTAGCAAGGTTCAATTAATTTTTTACTAATATTCTAGTTTCTAAAACTTTTCAGAAACCAGTACAAATTCCTCAACTTCTTTCCGTGGATTATTAATTAGGTCACGGTGATCCTTGAAGATGGACAGCAATATCATGGTGATGTTTTAGTAGGAGCTGATGGAATATGGTCAAAAGTAATTTCTCTCTTAGTCTTTGAGCCATCTCCGATGTGTGCCCTTTTCAATTTCATAATTATTTTGTTTTCTTTTTTAGCAGGTGCGATCGAAATTATTTGGCAGACAGGAAGCAAAATACTCAAATTACACCTGCTACAGTGGAATGACAAAATTTGTCCCGCCATACATTGATAGTGTTGGGTATATTATATGTTACATGGTTCATATTGTCAAGCTGAATTTAAAAAATGGACAAATGAAAGTGTAAAAACTCAAAAATAAAGTCAGTAGATGGATGGTTTTGATTCACTATCTATGTGTTCTTGATTCGTAGGTATCGGATCTTCTTGGGATTGAACCAGTACTTTGTTGCATTAAATGTTGGGAATGGGAATATGCAATGGTTTGCCTTCCATAAGCAGCCGCCTATGAGTTCTGATCCTCCTGAAGGCACACACTCTCTTTCTCTGTTGTGAACTTGTCATAAATTAATGCATTTGATTTTTAGATTTGAGCATAGCAGTTGTTGCACTTATCTAAATCTTAGGCCTTAAAATCCTGCAGGTAAAAAGAAGAAGCTCCTGGAGGAGATATTTGGAAAGTGGTGTGATGAAGTGGTTGCTCTAATTGAAGAAACACCAGAGTCCATGATTTTACAAAGGGATATCTACGATAGAGACATGATCTACGCATGGGGAATTGGGCGTGTTGCTCTGTTAGGCGATGCTGCTCATCCGTTGCAGCCAAATCTTGGCCAAGGGGGTTGCATGGCAATTGAGGTATCTGGTCTTTTTTAGTACATTTTATCGTTTGCATAATTAAAAAAAAGGGAGGAGTTGTCTCTCATGAGCTCCCATGTTGGTTCATTTATGTGCAGGACTGTTACCAGCTCATACATGAGCTTGATCAAGTTCCCAACACCAGCTCAGATGCGATTTGCTTGGCACTAAGACGGTAAGTTGTAGTTCTAGGTTTAAATCTTGAGGCATAGTAAAAATTACTTTACAAACTGTTGTGTGATGGTTGGTCAGATACGCAAAGAAAAGAATCAGGCGTGTTGGTATAGTGCATGCAGCCACCCGAATAGCATCAGAACTACTTGCTATGTATCAACCATGCATACAGTTTTGTTTGTACCATATCTGATCCTCCACTCATTCATTGACACGTGGATCGCTTAAACTCCCCAAATGCCCAAAGGCTCCGAACAATCGGCATCGGCTACCGATGATATTGTCTCAAAGCAGCAAAAGATCGCTACAAGCTCAACACAGCCTACAATCAGTATCCCTTACCGATTCTGCAGAATCAACCTCGAAGCACCCGCCCGAAATATCTAAGGACTCGTGTCAACCTCATAGGGCCCTCCCACGAGTCCCACATCGAAATTAAGAACTAAGAGCATACGAAATGCCCTCTATAAATAGGCCCCTCCACTACAATACAGGGATAAGACTTTTCAGCTTGACTTTTATACTTTTATATGGTCAACAGTAAGAGCTCTTAGAAACAAACTTACTTTGGCAGCGGAGGGTCTTAGGCTGGTTCCACACCGGTTCCATAGACCTCACGAGTCTCAACTCTCTTTTATTCAGGATCTGCATCCAAGGACAAGAAGAATCTGCATCTATCATTCAACCGATCTGCTAGATCGTCCTCACCACTTGTAAGTTGCACTCATCTCTATCTGTTCAGTTTTAGTGCCAACATAATCTATCATCAAAATTTTAAATATAACAAAATAGTAATGGCATCAACGAATAAAGAAATCACAATAGGCATGCTTGAAAACGATCTTAGTGTTTGTGAGTAACCATGTGCTATGATACCAACTGTTAGATTTCATACATGTGTTCATGATCTTTCACACAACCTGAAATACATAGAAGACATATCTGACGTCATCTTTCTTGAGTACACGATCTCAGAACTCATTCAGTCGCAACAGCAGCAGCACGAGCAAAAGACACGAACGGCTTAAGACATCTGCTCTCTCTTTATGATGAGATTAGGGTTAGAGAATATATCTGATGAGAGTAAGGTCTTAAGCTTATATAGGGGTAGGTCAAGTCGTCTCTACTCATCATCGAGGGCTGACTTGACTAACGCTCTAAGCTCATCAAGCAATGGTTCACGCAAAAGGAAATAAATAGGACCCCTTTAATTGGCTTCAAAACTTTACTTATTTCACAAAGTTTTGGGCCCCAAGGTATAACCTAATTTAAACTCTTATCAAACTTTGACAGGATCTTACCCAAATTCCACTTTGGAATCTGAGCCAAACCCTGTGCGTGTCCGACACCTGGCAGGTGCCAGGCACACTTGACTAAATTGCCCTTCTAACTAAGTCTCAAAATTCTTCTTTTTTTGAATGGCTCTAGGGCATACTTCTAACACCAATTACAGGGGAGACTGTTGTTAATATTATGTTAACTCGCAATTGTACGGGGCAATTACTTCTGCACCGAATGTCTCAACGGTAGCCGAAGCCCATGCTTAAACACGTCGGTGAAGAAGACTACGCCCTTGTCATTATCACTGAGCGACTCTAAGGGCCCCGGAATTCGCATCCCTACCGATTCCGGAATATTGAACTCCGCCTGAATCTTCGCCAGCTCAGCCTCAGTCAGTGTATAAGGCTCTAAGTCATCTACTCTGAACAAAGGTTCCGTGGGCTTCGCCATCGGAATCCGTTGCCTCCCCCTGACAACCCGCAACACCCCTTCCCCTGGGGCGGCAACGGACACGCCACCCCCATCGGCCTCACGACCCAAAGTCGAAGGCTCACCATCTTCAGGCACTCTCGTCGAAGTGCCCCCAGCCTCGGCACGTCGAAGTGTCCCCCTCCACTATCTCACAACTTGAAGAGCTCCCAGAATCGGTACTCTCACTCCCCTCGGACGAACTCCCCAAGGACGATTCGTCCTCATAGGCCCTCGGACTACGCCTACCCTCGGATTCGGTATCTGACATCTACAAACACAAATGACGGGAAACTAAGTGCTATGCTAGAATCAAAATCCTATTCTACCTCCTAAACACTTATGTTCATTCATGCTCGTTCATACATTGTTCAAACAAAAAATCAACGAATTCAACACTTTGATTCGTAAAAATGCAACAACACGGCAACATACCTTGTTTGCACGGTGGTTCAAGATCGCCGGAAATCACCTCCGCCTAGTTCACGCTCGCCGGAAATCGCCTCTCACAAGCTCTGATCGCTCTCAAAAATTCCAAGTATTCGAACTCTCGTCCCTTCCTCACATTTATAAAGCCGATCTAGCATCGGGAAGCGAAGCGACGCATCGGGATACGAAACGACGCGACCCTTCACAGCCATGCCGACACGTGTCACGCATGCACAGGAGAACCCAAGCGTTGTCAGTTGAAACGTTTCCAATCCTCAGCGACACTTCAACTTCCCGAACGTTGCACCCCTAGCCACCTTCAAGCACAACTCCATTAGCGAACGGCAGGCGCACATTGATGAGTT